GGGAGCAGAGGCGGAGAGAAAGAATCCCAAGCAGGCTCCATGCAGCCCAAGCAGCCCAATGTGGGGCTCAATCCCGGGACCCTGGGATCATGACCAGAGCCAGAACCAAGAGTCGGACACTCAACCGACTGAGCCACCCAGGCTCCCCAGCCTGGTAATTTTTAAAGGGACTTTTCCTCTTTCTCAAGAGGAACTCACGTCCATGTAATGTCTGTGCGGTTTCCCAGGGGGGGTGGGAGAGCAGCCTGCACAGGCAGCATCTGGCCTGGAGAGCTGGGCTCGTGTGGCAGACATTGATACTTTATCGATGCAATACACCCTTACTTTCAACTCCTTTGCGCAATCTCCTTTCCACCTTCTTACCTGCTGGCTACCACTCCTGGGCAATCTTTACTGAACTTTGGAAACCTTGATATAGCCAAGTTTGTTGGTAGCAGATAATAGCCTTCCACACATAATCCAGAAGGTACCTGTTTGGCTTTGGGATGGGACCAAAGATGCCGCACTATTGGGGCTGGAGCCCAGGGTCAGAGGCCCAGCTCTGCCGTTTCCAGTGTCCCCATGGAGAGGCTGTGGTCCAAGGGGCCCTTGTCCTTGTCTGTTCAGGTGAGAACACTTGCTCAATTAGCTGTTAGGCTTAGTTCTAATAATCCTATTGCCCTTTTGATCATCTCCCAGGTATCAACCAAGATATTAGCATTTTCTTCTAACCCCAAACCTGCAAAACAGATAGTACTCTGGTTTTCAAAATAAATGCATCTTGGAAGTTAAGTAACTGACCTGAGAGCAACACAGCTGGCCAGATAGCCAGGATCCTAAAACCTGTGTGATTTTCTTACTGGCTACTTGAAGTGAGGCTCACTGTCCAGGTGTAAGCCTAGTTTCTAACGCTGGGAGGTGTCCACACTCTGGGCCCCCTCTCCTGCTGCCAGAACCGCCCTGCTCCTGTGACCTGGCCTCACAGGAGGACCATCCTGCACACAAGCCCGTGGGCCAGGCCTTGCCCACGTCCTCACTTCCACCTGTGATGGGACCTGCCACAAGGGTCTGGGATTGCCGTTCTGAGAGTCCCCCAGAGTAGCCAGTTCTGGGGCGTTTGGAGATCGGCTGTGTCTGTTTTCACTTTGCATTTGTAATTCAGGAGAGGAGAGTGTCCGTCAGTGTCTCATCCTTTGATGATGAGTCTTCCTCATCCTTTGTGGTTGACCTTGCACTTCCAGTCTCCCGAGGAGCCTGGTCCATCACTGACCTCTCCTATCTCGCGCGGCTGGAGCCGCCCTTACTGCTGGACTCCAGCAGCACTCTGTGCCTAGGTCTTGTTTGCTACAGGCCTTGCAAAGTGCAGGGAGGTTTATTTTTCCCAAAGTTCACGTCTCCTGTGCCCAGCCATGCTGTCCTTGAAGCCACATCGCGGCCTTTCCTTTAGCAGCTGTTGACTGGTGGCCCACTGTGTGCTGGGCTTGCGCTCAGCACCAGGGACCTCCGTGATGAGCGAGACCAGGTGTGGACCCTGACCCTACAGAGCCACGTGTCCTCCCTGGCACGTAGGTGTTAAAACCCGTGGCGAATGAACAGCTTCCATCTCACTGATGCTGCAGACTGCATGGTTACCAGCCTTGCTGTGCTGTGCCCGCTGCTGTGGCGTGTGTGAAGGGAGTTTCCACGCACGAGGTGAGTCATCTCTGAAGCCTGGCTCCTTTTCCAGAGGGCAGCCGTGCACGGACGATCTGTGGTGGAAACAGATGAAGGATGAGCCTGGAGTCCTCTCACCTTCTCC